AACTCATCGTTATGTCCACGCTTGCGATTGCGACGGTTGACATTCATCCTGAATTCTTCGGCTGTGTCGTCCATTGAGAGGTCGGAGAGGTCTGGGGCTGAACTCGCTCGAGCGTTGGGTGAATCTGACATTTTGCCGTGTATCTGATCAGAGGTCTGTGATCGAGAAGACAGCAGTGTGCTGAGCGACGAATGTGGAATTTGAGTTTTAAGCTCTGGGTTATAAGGTTTAATTTACAATGGTAGTTTAAAATATGATATTAAAATTTCGTACGAGAAATAGTGAGTGCGTCCGTTCGCACCGGCTCGCGACGCGTTATGATGATTAGACCCGACTAAGATGAATGAGAAAAATGTATTGTATCAAATACATAGACTTGTTAAAATTTCACTAAACTTCAAACTTATCGTAAATTATTGTTTGATTAAATTGTTGCCTATCTTGATTTCACCCAGGAATAATTAGCTAAGCTTGACCAACTTTAATATCCTTCAACTAGATTTATGCAAAGTTATATGAGGGTTTGAAACCTGGCAAGTACCAAAGTGACTTTTTTCAAGTTATATGAACCTACTTTCTATGATTATTTAGAAAGCACTGATATTCGACTTGCACTTGGACTTATAAATACTAATTATAAGTTTCAAATCTGCAATCCGCCTTGAGCAAGCCTGCAGAATAAGGCTCAAAATTCCTTGGTGTGCGAAGAGGCCTTTGCTCAGCAGTGGGCACTAAAAAGCTGATGATGTGATGTACACTTGATTATTTAATTAAATCATACCTGTATGTGTCTATCCTCTGTGTATGTAAATGCATGATATCTGTGGGCACTGTGTCGAGGAAGTTCCTGTCGTGGGACACCACCAGTAGTGTCGTCGGCCAGTTCTGCAGATAGTTCTCCAACCAGATGATGGCTTTGATGTCCAACATGTTCGTCGGCTCGTCGAGTAGAAGGAGGTCGGGTCTGTGAGAGAATTACAATGTTACAGGTAAAATTAATTAGGCCAGAATGAAACGGTTTACCAAAGGAACAGGAAGATTTTTCATCCTCAAAAAAATCTGAATTAGCAATATAACATATTAAAACTCATGATCTTTCTGTAAATTTTTGCGTAACCCTAAAGACAGCTAAACTGGCAACAGTAAAAAAATACGATTCATAACTCTATAAATGATGATATCAGAATATTTTATGATGAACAATAAACCAATTTAATGTAGGTATGAACTGGACTACTAACTAGTATCATATGGGAGAACTAGTTCCAAGAAAACTTACTTAGAGAACAAAGCCCGGGCAAGGGCAAGCCTCATCCGCCAACCTCCAGAGAATGTCTTTGTGGCTCTGGTCTGCATCTCCGGTGTGAAACCCAAACCACTGAGGATGATGGACGCTCGCGCAGGCGCCTTGTCTGCCTCTATATTTTCCAGCTGTGCGTATATATCACTTAGCTCGTTTGATAGACTTGGGTCTGTTGATCTGAGAACAAATTAATTTTAAGATGAATTAACAAGCAAACATTACGAATAATTGCTGTACAGCTCGCCCCGGTAAACAATGGGCGCTGCCCGTGTAAACCTGCAACATGTTTAAGGGTATGTGGCCAGCTTTTAGTTTCATAAGTAAGGAATAAGTTAAACATTGTAATATGTATAAATAATTTAAGGTTCATTTATTCATGCATTATTAATGTAAATTAACATTATACCATAACAGGTATGGATGAAGAAATATCAATTTCAGATTGCATCAGTTTCGAGTTTAGTATTTATTTTATTAAGTAGCTGTTTAACAAACAGGTAAATGGTTTAAGGAAGGAGACCTATAGATACTACATTATAGGATGTATTATTCTTGGTTTCACGGCAAACAAGATTACGACAAGGTATAGATACAAAGATTCTGAATGTTTTTTTTTTAAATATTCTTAAACAAGTTTAGTTAAATTAGGCTTCTTAAAAAAAATTACCTTACATACAGCCAGTATTTAAAGTTTTGGAGATTCTTGCTTGTTGTTCTTTATTCGAATTTACATTTTTGAATAAACACTTAGCCTAACTAACTGATGGAAATACAATTTATTATATTTCTTTATTTGTTGTTTCAAAAATACCTGTTATGAGTTATTTTAGTTTTAAACTTTTGACTTAGTTGATAAGAAACAAAGTGGATTGGTTCATGTTTAAAGACTATTAATATTAAGTAGCATGCAACTTTGCATTCGCGAAGAAGGCAATTTTTTATTTTGATCTTCAGACTTCTTCTTACGTTTACCACAAGCCAGTGCAAAATAATTATTAAGTATATTAAAATTTGAATTATCTTTGAGCCTAAATAAAGAATAAATCATTGCCACACTAATACTACATAGAGAAGGCCCTCATAGCTCTAGTAATACTGAATACAACTTCATCTTTGCTTCAGGGAATAAAAAAAGTGTCATGATGATCTATTAGCACTTACCCAGTATTAATCATAACAGTAATTTCCTTCTCGCGTTTCAACAAATATTCTCTGGTAGTATCACATTCTAATACACTTTGCAGTGCCACGGTATCATCTCCAACAACTTCTTGTTCCACATGCAATATTGATATGTGAGATGGAATCTTTAATTGTTTGGAAGCAATCATCCTTAGAAGTGTGGTCTTGCCAAGCCCATTCCGTCCTACAAGACCATACCTTCTACCAAATGCTAGAACAAGGTCAGCACCTTGTAGTAACACTCTGAAAAAAATTGTATTTGTTAGAGTATTTATTGTTGTATTTTTTAATCTTGTTGGATGAGGCCAGTTCAAATTGGGGTAAAATTCCCCCACATGAAAGCATGTGGGGGAAGGCTTCGGCGTGCCTACGACACTCGAGAAAATTATGGGTTTAAAAATTATAAATACAATAAACAGAAATATTTAAAGTACTTTCAACCCAAAGTAAATAACGGGTATGACATAATATTTTATTAACATATATTTCGCTATTTCAAGTACAAAATTTCTTGACAAAAATAAGGTGTGCCCAATTTTGCAATGAATTATAAATACTTCGAAAGCAATATAAAACTTTACCTGTCCCCATATGCTATGTCGAAGTTCTCTATCCTAATGTCCTGTGTTCTATTAGTCCCCTTGGCTTCCAACTTGCTATCCTTCTTTGAAGTCACTTGTGAAGCTGTAGCAGTCTGAAGTACAGGTACTGCACTTGGTGCCTTCGAATCTTTCTGCTTTTGTTGTTTCTGCTGTAACTTTGCTTCAGCCTTTTCTAATTTCTTTGCATCAACTTTCTGCAAATAAATGTTTTTAAATTACAGGACATCTGATGATAACAAAACACAAACATGTGGTCAGGTGCCTGCTTTAAATATTATATAATTGCCAATCCATTTTAAAAATTGATGCAAAGGCTCTTAGAAGTTTTATACAAACCTGAAGTACTTGAGTATACTTTAATTAAATCATTGGATATAAAAATTTCTTCTCAAAAGTTTTAACTAATTTTAGGAATGCTTATGTTACCAGGAGGATTCTTAAAGTAGAATGATTATAGGTGACTCTTAAAGTTTGTGCCTGTTTACCAAACAGTGAAAACATTTATCTTGTCTCTTTTTTATGAACTATTGCAGGACCTTAGTTCTATTAAACATTGTAGACTTTAATTTTTGCACACTAAGATTTGTATAGATAGAACAAAAGAACAAGCATACATACCAAGTTATCATCTCTTGTATTTATCCATATACTTCGGAGATCCTCAGTCTCAGTGACAGGTGCGGCCATGGAGGCAAGGTGTATTGGAGCATCCAGTACTTTTCTAGGGCCATTGCTGCTGCCTGGTTTGTCTGGTTGAAGCATATGCAGTAACTTTTCACATATGTCCCTGTTGGAAGAATTTGTTTAGTGAAAATACAGTTTATAAAACTTTTTGATTTATAATCTATGATACTGGGAAGTTTATACATATAAGACAGAAAAAGTCCTTGTGGATTGAATTTTAAGATATGTGTTGCAAAAATTTTAAATCATACATTTTAACAACCACTTTGAGTGAGAAATGAATTGTTCTTTCTAAGTAACAAACTCTGTCTAACTAGAATGGGATTGGCACAACACACCACCAACCAGTCAACATAAAAAAAGTAACAAGCCAATATTATATGAATAATAACGATATATATGTTATTAAATTATGGCATTTTAGTTCCCAAGTTAACAATAATTGTGCAATATTATGACAATAAAAGAAAACTGGAGAAACCTTATATCTTTTTCCGATTTTTCAGAGATTCCTTGGAGTACTTCTCCCACTGCTTCATAAACTTCTTCCGTGTCTTCGAACTCACCCGCACTGCTGTCCAGAATGTCTACAAGAATCCAAATTAATTAAATGTCGAAGATTTAACATGAAAATAACTTATTCTTGTCGGTGAGTATTTAACGGTTATGTACCTAATATTAACCTTAAAATATATCAACATCAACCAGTTAATAGCAATATAAACATATTCCTGATATAAAAATAATATTACTCTTTATAACCTACAGAAAACATACCTTCAACATATTTCATCAATTCTTCATCGATTAGTGGGAATTGACTTTTAATAAAGTCACCACACTTTGCCATTTTTATGATATTACAGTAAATATAGATGATTTATTTTATTTATCATTTATTTAATTTAATTTTTAAATGCAATTTTGCAAATGCACAAATCGCCCGATGGCACGTCACGTCACCGAGCAAACGATTGTCAAGCAAATTAGACAAACTGTCAATGTCATTTTCAAACTCATTAATAGTTTAGTTTACAACACAAATGAAATTTTCTCTTTACCTGTACGTAATTAAATTTTCATAAACCACCGGTCTTTTGCAATGTTTGTTTTTATTAAGAGACTTATAGAAAATATCAATTTTTAGGAGACTAAAGCGCTAACTTATGATCAAAATGTGATATTTTTTGCTATGAACATTCTGATCAAGATTTGTCATGTCAAATAATGTTGACATTTGCTTTCGAAAGTACGCTGTGTTGGAGTATTGTAGTTTCAACAAATATTTTACTTAGCACATTTGCTATTAAAAGAAGTTAGAGAATATACGATATGAATTATACATAAAGTGCAATTTATATGACATCTAATTTCCGACATGCTAAAACCGTGATTGCATATATGGAGTTCTAAAACCATTACTGTGCCGAGTCTGGTAACTAGTTGGAAAACGCCCAAATAGTCGGCACAAAATGGATGAAAACATTGATAGCAATGTTGCCGTTTTGGCTATTTTGGATAATCAATGTGAGTAAACAAACAAACAGTGTTGTCAAATAAAGGCTTTAATGTCAAATGTGTTATCTTTTCAAACATATTCTTAATTCTTTTAGTACAAAACACACTGTTTACGGTGTTCATTTTATAATTACTGTGTTTCAGCGACTGCTTACAAACCAAACATGACTATGACAACCTATAACCATAGTCATACAATAACTCAAGAAGAAACTGATGTAAATGAAACTAATAAACAAAGTATGTATATGTGTATATACTCTCATACTATCTTCCATTTGTTAAGCAAAATATTCTCATTTATTCTCCCACCATTTACTTATTTGTTTTATTAACATTGCAGATGTAATTTGGACAAAAAATGCAACTCTGATGCTTCTAAGTTTATATGAAACAAAAATGCATATGCTTGACAACCCTAAAAAGAAATCTAAAATGTGGTTATCTATAGCAGAGGAACTCAAATCATTAAATGTTGAGGTAAATTTTAAATTCTTGCATCTGAGCTTTTACTGCTTCAAAGTATAATAAAAATCCATAAATTCATAAAACTATTTTATATTCCAGGTAACTGCAGACCAAGTAAGGTGGAAAATAAATGCCCTCACAAAAAAGTATAAAGACTGCATTGACAATGGACAAGGGGCCATGAGTTTTAAATATTTCAATGAAATGCATCAAATTCTGGGGCGATATAGTGATAATTCTGGAACTTACAGACTGGCTTCTGGTGTGATACAAGGTTCAGATGATTTAGATAAGGATAAAAATAAAAGAAATTTATCCCTCAAAGGTTCAACACCATTCAGACGGTTAAGGGCAGAAAGGAGAGCAAAAATAGAATTAGACAAACAATGGCTAGACTATTTAAGGAAACAAGAAGATCAAAAGCAATTAAGAGATGAAAGGTATGAAAGAAACTTAAGGCTGAGACAAGAGGAACTACAATTGAGAAAAAAAGAACTAGAAATCAAGCAATCATTAGCATTAAAAAAATTACAACTAAAAGAACAAAAACAAGAAGAAATGCTAAAAATTGAAAGGGAAAAATGTGCACTTCTAAGAAAGTTGGTAGCTGATCAGGATTTAATGAGGCAATAAAACATGATTTTAGTTTAGGTCAGGTGATTTGATTACCTTTCTCATTTAAAAAAAGGAATAAAATGTAATACTTATATGACTTGATATTTTATGTGAGATCAAATTTTATACAAATAATTTATTTGATTATAATACTTACAATTTTGTCTTTTAATTAATAGTATACACTTAACTGGAATTGTGAACATTCAAAATTTTATTTATTCATGTTCTTCCAAGTGATCATTTTCATCAACACAATAATTATGTAGAATACATGCAGCTACAATGGTGTCTGTTATAAAAGCTATATTTCTATACACAGTAAACAGTTTTATTCTTCTAAACCTTCCCTTTAGAAGACTGAAGGCTTTATCACTTAATTTCCTAGTGGATAAATGCAAGGAATTGAATTCTCTCTGCTGTGGTGTCAATCTTTTGTTTTCTCTAAATGGTGGCATTAGCCATGGTAAGGAGGGATAACTTGAATGCCCTACTAGAAAAGTATTATGCGGAAATAAAGCATTTCTGTTTTGTGATGCAGTATTATATAATGGTGACTTCTTAAGAACTCTTGTACAGTTAGAAGAACCAGGTTCCCCACAAAATACATTTGTAAACCTAAGGTTTGCATCAATTGTAGCTTGAAGAATAACAGAGAAATATCCTTTAGGATTGCAGTATTCTCTTGCATTCTTAGGTTTTTCTATTTTAATATGTGTACAGTCAATTATTCCTACCATATGGGTAATTCCAGTCTTAGTATGAAATGCATCACAGATGTAACTTATTTCCTCAAATGTCTGAGGCCACTTGATAGCATCATTTAATTTTGTTAGAATCCACGCCACCACTCTCCTTATAACTCTGAATGTAGATGAGATGGAAATATCGAATCTTGTCGCAATTGGAGTAAGTGGCTCAGAGTTTGCAATAAAAGATAAAAATATATAGAAGCAAAGCTTTGGTTCCAATGGTTTTAATCCAAACTTATGAGAGGCTATGAATCCTGACTTCTCCAGTTCATCTGAAACAAACAAATATTACTTTGTTTTGCCTTGCCTTCAAACGTTTAATATTTATTTTTATCTCATTCGTTACCAATGAGTCTATAAGCAGTTTTTCTTGATAGTCTCATCCTATTTTTAAATTCGGCGTCAGTCCATGAGTCTATGATATGTAAATAATCATCTACTCGTTTTCGTCTCAGTCTTATTAGATATTGCATTAAAGGGAAAAATAGTGTGTCTTCATCGGCATCGCTCAAATCTTCATCTTCAGAAACATCTTGTTTGATTGTACAAACATCACTCCATTCACTTGAATCACTTTCACTACTTGCTGCTGTTTCACTTAACCAAAGAATAAGCTTTTGTTTATCCATGTTATGTTACCATAGAATTGTTTAAATCCTTTTTATTTAAAGTTTTTATTTTAGAAGATTGTGCTCATGTGCTGGGTGCTAAACAACAACAAACATTATTATTGATGGATGACATTGACAGACAAGGGTTTTGCTAGTCAGCGACTGAGAGTGAGACGTCGCAATTTACTTGTGATGAAAAGAGAGGTATCAAATAAAATGTTTAAAATATTTGGTATTTTAGGACAGGAACCTGAACATACACGTGCTATGAGCTGCGTTTGACACATTGACATAGAAAATATATGGACTTGAAATACCTACGAAAAAAAGGTGCCTACCTACAATCCAAAATGTCGCATAAGATGGCTGCCGTTGCTAGGGTTGTGCCGACTAAGTATTTAACGAGTATCGATACAATTTGAGTAAAAGTTCTACGTAGGTATAGTTTTAGGGATTAGCCAGCTGATTAACGGTATTTTTTTATGGGAAATCATCTAATGTCATCTCCGGCCTTTTTCGGGACAGACCGTTACTGACTAAAATCAACTCCTGTTCCTACTTTGCCATCGGCCTAGCTAGAGCCCGGAACCCGGGGTTAACTAACTTGGTCTCTTGATTGGCTAATGATTTTCTCAAGTCGAATTTGTATTCATATAATTCAACGTAAACCGTCTTTTAAAAAAATAGGACTGTGTTTATGAACATCGTTTAATGGAATGGTGAAATAGAAAAAGATAGTGTTTGTTAAATGTTTATCTTTACTTATATATGTAAAAAACCTGTGGGTATTTGTGAAGTGCTCGCGCACAATTTCGGCGCGTCTGATTAAACGATGATATCTTCGAAACTACGTTAGCACAAAATAGATATGTAGTTAAGTCAATCTTATTGTATGTATCTCAATTTTTATTATTACGCTTGGTGGTCGCACTGGGATCGTCGCCAACGCCGCTCTGTCAATCGCGCCCGTATAATTATAAAACATGATAATTTGAACTTCTACTTATGTAACTAAAACCAATACTAAAATACTGACGTCTTACTTTAGCGTTACACAAAACTGCGGAAACATCAATTGTTAAAATAGATTATTTAATATACTGTTGAATTTTAAATGGGAGATTATATCGATACTTTTGTGAAATGGTACGTAACTATGCCATATTGACATATTATTGTAAACAACAATTTTTTACTAAAACTGTCTCACAGACAGAAATGAAAGTAAATATATATACTTTGGCAATAGATTAAAGTATCCGTGACATTTTTTTCTATCTATGTGGATTATTCTAAGTAATATTTGATGAAAACTGTTTACTAACCTATACAAAGACAATTGAGGTTGATTTTCGTTCTTTTTTGCACCACACTGCACAATACAACACACAGGCATATTGTTTTTTTGTTTTACTATATATATTTGAAGTTTAAAAAAATGGTTCTTTGTAATTTACTGAAAAACCGCAATAATTTAAAACATAAACAACCGTTTGACAGGACAACTACCATGAAACTCAGGTACTCTGAGCGCTCAAGATGGCGGACATGGCACTTACCTACAACTTTGCTAATGTCAAAATGATTTGTTTCCATATTAAGCAACAACTTAAATATTGTTGTCCCTTTTGTCTAATACAATTATTGCCTTAGAAAGAGTGAGAAAAAATGATATTTCATAGTTTGTTTCATATTTCCCTCATATTTGTATAAGCATGTATACTTCTATAGTAACACGGCGCCTCTATAATTATATTTTCTATCTCAATGGTTTGACAGCGTTTGTACAAAGTATCTGTCAAGAGTGTCAACACAACAAAGAGTCCAATTAATTTCTTTGCTCTGAGATTGTTGTTATTTATTTACTTAAATGAAACATAATATTTTTTAATTTATAAATGTAAAACACGAATATTGATTAATTGTATATTATATGTTAACATCATACTTTGTCTACAAGATGTAGACCCGTTGTCTTGTGATTTTATTTTATGAAGTATATTCAAAGCGGCGAAGTATCAGACAGACTATTTAAAAAAATATTTATAGGTAAAATTATTTGCAATGGACGTCTGTGAATCTGCTGATGCATCTTACTGTATTTTAGAAGAAGGCAAGTGAACTATGTATTATCAACAGTACTGTTTTCGTAGAAAAAGTGTACTCATTAAAATTTACAAATATTACTTCAAATGCAGGCATTACAGGATACTTAAAAAACTTAAACTCCTAACATAATAATTGGATATTTAGAAAAAATGTATCTTAGTAAACAAAGTTATTTGTTTTAGGTTCGCAAGACAACTTGGAAATCTGTGAAAGCACCAGTGATGTGAATACTCGAAATACAGAAGGAAAACTAAGTGTGAGTGATGGAGTAGAAAAGCCTTGTAAGTATGATAGACCAATAGATTTTAATTTGCATCCAAGCTGCCTTGAAAATTGGAACTAATTTCAGCACAGGAAGTATTGTAGTTGGCATGATGATGAAAAAGTAATAATTTAATTTTGTTGCTGTAATTCACAGGTGCAGTATGGACATTGAATGCTACTACAACTCTCTTAAAATTATATGAAAATAAATTAGAAATGTTAGAAACACCTAAGAAGAAGACCAGGATCTGGATTGCCATATCACAAAGTTTAAGTGAATATGGAATCGAGGTAATAAGTATACCTAAAATCTTTAAAGTGCACTCTGATATTATTGCAATAAAATTATTTTTAATTAAGTGACAAATTAATATTGATTAATTTTCTAAATTTTAATTTAAAACATATGTATATGTGTGTAAAGAAATTAATTATTTCTATTTCAGATGACACCAGATCAAGTCAGGTGGAAAATAAATGCTCTTACCAAGAAGTATAAACAATGTATTGATAGTGGAAACCATGATAAGTTTAAATATTTTAAAATAATGAATGATATCTATTCACAATACCATGTTGACTGTGATTCCTATGCATTAACTGAACTTTTACATAAAAAGAAAAACAACAGAATGAGTGGATCAAATGACCAGAATTCAAAAATAAATCAAGAAAGCAAAGCTGTCATTGAGATGAGAAAAATAAGACTGGCCAACAGAATAGAGAGTGATAGATTTCAAGGAAAAATTCAACTGGAAAAACAATGGTTAGAATACCTGCAGAGACAAGAAGAACAAAAACAATGGCGAGATGAAATCTATGATAGAAACTTGAAACTGCGAGAAGAAGAATTAGAGCTAAGAAGAAGAGAGTTGGAAATTAAAGAAACTTTAGAATTGAAAAAGATAGAATTAAAAGAAAAGGAGTACAGAGAAACACTAGAGATTGAAAGAGAAAAATGTGAATTATTGAAGGAAATGTTTAGTAAAAGATATTAAAATAAAACAACTTTAAGTTTTTGTTTATTTTTTAATGTCATCGAATTTTCCATAAGAAATGAATACACCACCTACTTACTACCTATACAAAGATAAAACAATTAGTGAAAATTTGGCCGTTTTTTCTGTTGTCGACCATAATTTATTATATGGCCTAATCTAGCCCATACCTAATTTACTCAGAATACAGATTTATTATTTTTCTTTCCGTAAGGTGATAATGAATAGAAAAAAATACTCGTTGAATCTAATTTTATTCGTTGAAACATCTAGCATCCAATTTGTATCTATAGCTTTGATCAATAGGTACTTATATCCGATCATAATAATATTCGAGTCTAATACGTTTTTTTTCGTAACGTAAGGATTTTTTCTTGGTCAGCAACAGCAACTGAAGAACTGCCAAACAAAAAAAGTGTACCTACCTAACCGGCAACGGCAACCAGTTGAAACGACCGAAATTCGAATTTCAAAATATGTGGTAAGTACCTTTTTTTTAATAAATGCTGAGCAATGACTGGTAAGATTATTATTAAGTACTTGGCAGTGGAATTTATTCTTTCAATTCCTATTCTGTTAAAATAATATAGCAAAATTATAATGAAAAGTAAAAATATAAAAAGCAGGTGCACATACAATAATCAGTGGGTACTTACTGTTTCGCAAAAAACACTTGAATTACTATTTAAAAACGAGTCTTCGCCACAAGATCACTACTTCATAGTAATTATCCAATTGAAATTGTAATCGACTAAATGGAAATTAGAGAGCGAGAGAATTGAAAATTTTTATCTGTGGTCAGTGATTTAAAAAAAAGTTGCTTACGTCGCAATGCTACCAACATAATGTCCCGCCGCGACGCAAAATTCTGTAGAAATCACCGCATTTGAAGAGCAAATTATAAAAATTTAGTGTAAATTCAGACAATGGCAGACTTTAAATCAAAAAGACATGAAAAGTCTTTGGGTTTACTAACAACAAAATTCGTATCATTGCTTCAAAAAGCCAAGGATGGTGTTTTGGATTTGAAAATCGTAAGTGTAGCATAATTTGCCTCCCATTGATCTGTCAAGTGAATATTTGGGCACGAAAAATAAATATTTTGAACGTAATTTTCGCATTTATTGAAATAATTTTATTTTAGGCGACGAACTTGCTCGCCGTAAGACAGAAAAGAAGAATATATGACATAACAAACGTGTTGGAAGGAATCGGGCTTATTGAGAAGAGAAGTAAGAACAGTATACAATGGAAGTGAGTGAACTTTTTATTGTTTATTTACGATTCGTTTGCTTACTGACAAACGGATTTGTTTATTCTGAAACTATTTACTAATTTGTTACAGAGGTGCAGGACCGGATTGCAAAACAAGTGACATTGGTCATAAAGTTATACTTTTGAGGAAACAGATTGGGCGCCTGGACGATCAGGAGCGATTACTTGATAAGTAAGTATTTGATACGATTACAAACTTCTCAATGTCATAACGCCGCCTTATGATAATTACTTTGTTGTATCAGTACCTACATAATTGCCCCCTAAATGTGTTAATTTGATAAGTTAATTATTAATCTTTTGGTAGCCTCTACCAACTAGGATCAGTTGAACTAGTGTAGTGTGTACCAAGGCTTTCATGCCCAAAATAATTAACTGAGTGCACAGGTGTGTGTGAGTGCATTTGTTTATATTTATTTGCATTTGGCTGTATTATAGCTTGGTATTTTATTTCTTTCCAACTTACAGTTATAAAAAGATTATTTCCTTTAATTTCAGACAGTTACATTGGATTGAACAAAGTATAAAAAATGTGCTGGATGATACAGATAACAGCAAGTTATGTTATGTAATGGATAAAGATATACAGGGGTGTTTTGAAGATAAACAAATACTTGTGTTAGAAGCACCATTAGGTGCACAATTATCACTTGGCTCTGTACCTGTAAGTAAAGTGAAGTGGTATGGCTTTTTTAAAGATTTATAAGTATCTGAGACAAAATAGCAAATTATTAACTGGGAAACAACCAGTACCAAATATAAATATTTGCAGACCCGAGAAGGTCTAAGGGCATTTCCGATTTTAATCTTTTAAAATGGCTTTGTAAAAAGATGCAATGATGTTCACCAAGTTATTGCTAGGGAGGATAGAATGTATCCAGTGCACTTTTTGATGGTTTTTCTTGGTTACAGTGGAATTTTGGCTTGTTCATGGAGTTGAGGGTCGACAAATAACATCAAATTATCAATGTGTTATTGTTTTATAATTCAAAGGCAGCTTTTTAGTGATAGTGCTTTTTTTGTTTTCTTAGAATTAGAACTCCAGATTAGTCTATATAATACCAGCCGGGATTGCGGGGTAAGCACAATGAGGCACTGCAAACTCGGCCCAGAGCAGGAGTAGGACGGGGGGTTTTTGGTCAGTAAGAGTCTAATGTTTTCTCCCAGGGCGGGAGAAGTGATATAATGATTTTCCCCTCACAAAAAAGACTATATAACACAGCTATTCTATTAATTTAAGGTGAATAAACTTTAATTACGAAATTAAATTTGTCACTGACAATGTTTTTTTCATATTGGCAGAGTAAGCAGAAATTCTTTACTGAAATGCGGCACAGTGGAATATCAAGAACCAAATGTGTTGTAAGTCTTCATATCTTTTTTTTTTAATTATTCTAGTTACACACACTTTTACACTTATGGCAATTATCAGGTAGTTAGTCTGAACGGCCCAAACCGAATGGCCCGCAGGCCATGAACAAAAATCACCTATGTTCTAATGGACCGGTGATATGTTATCAATATGAATTTGAAGGTACAGTCGCATACATTGTAATAGTCGCTAAGTTTATGAATTTTAAGTATTCAAATTCAATATTTCATTTCTTATTGTTCAATTATATATATTTTTAATATTTTGTTCATTTGTTTCTTGAAATTAAGAGAGATTTTTACTAAATCTTATTGTTAAATTCTATTTTTTCTTCTTTGATTTACGTGAGATTTAGATTTTTATTTAAAATTATTTTATTATTTTATTGCTAAACTTTTAACTTTTGCACGTGAATGCACAATTGGTGTAGTTTATGACACTGCATTTAGCAATTTTTATTGCCGTTCAGACCAACTACCCCAATTTTCAACAATTTTTGATAGAAGATAAAAAATTAATAAAATGTGTGTTGAATTGGAGATTTCCTGTGTTTTTTTTGCTTTAGCAGTATTTATATTAATTTATTAATAATATGAAAAAGGTAAACAACAATTTTATTTATTGGTGTGTAAATTGTTTAGATGAAATATTATTATGTAAAAACTATTTACCTAAAAAACTAAGTATTTAAAGATTGTAACCTTCTTAAGGCATCGTGAGACCTCACACATATCACACACCTTCCAACTCACAGTTCCATTTAGTTTCTACAAAAAAAAATATTTCTTGTTCCAGGTTCCAGAACAACATTATTATTTACATTTAAAATCAACAGAATCTGTTGGAGTTATACTTTTAAGTGATAATGAAAGTGATAAGGTATGGGTCATTATTTGTTACAAAGTCAGAGACAGAGCCTTTTTGGTGTTGTTACAAGTTGAAACTTGGATTTAGTAGGTTATCTAAATTTGGTGTTAAAATATATCTTTATATTTTAGGAAACTGAAGATGACTCAAATATGGACGACCTAGAAGTGAAAAAACTAACAGAAAGCGGTAGTGACGACAATAAATATAGTAGCAGTGAGTATATTAGATGATATATTTAGAATGTTGATAACTAATACTATGTTGATGCATTGTTGAAGTGATAAGTTTTTTTTTTATTAAAATTGCCCTCTTTTCAGATTATCTCATGAGACTGAGCCCACCTGTGACAAAACACGACTTCTCGTTTTCTTTACATGGCACGGAAGGACTTTGTGATTTATTTGATATCCCATGCTAGCAGTATTGTGACATGACATTTTTATGAACTTTTTTTGTTTTAAAGACATTTTTTATGACACTATTTTTGATCATGTTGAACTTTATTGTATAAGTATACTAAAATTGTAAATAAAATTTGTAAATATGAAAAATCATTTTGGATTAAATGAAAGGAAATAAATTGTTAGAATATATGTATACACATTTATTGTGTTATTTCTTAGTTTTAATTGTTGGCACAAATCTGTCGAGGACACCAAACGAAGGTTTCTTTGTATGTTCTGGCTGTGGTAGATTAAGTGCTTTCTGTGCTTCCTTTGCTTGTTCTATGAACTCCTGAAAATATAAAATATTTTTTATTGTAGTTATCTTTACAACAAAACATTTGGAGACACACTGCATGGAGAGTTAGAAACTTAATGTTTTAGGTATAATTGCTTCATATTTGTATCTAGCTTACAAAGGTTCTTATCTCCATGCAAGTATTATTGTATAACGGAATGACATGTTTACTGAAATCAACAAAAATGTTACTGGTAAAACGGGGTGAACAGACACAAGAACTTTTTTTTCACCCCTTTCGTGTTTCTATTTACCTCTCAAATTATATTCACCCTGTTTTTACGGTATATATATATGTGGTGTATTTACCTTCCTAGCTGCTTGTTTTATAATCTTCTTTCTCGCTATTTGCGTCTTGCCCTTCTTCTTATGTCTAGGAGTGAAGTCCATTTTCTTCGGTTTAAGGTACTAGAAAAAATAAACAATTTTAATGTGATTATTTCATAGAAATTAAAAAACATGTACTATCTGAATGCTAACTGATGTTCATAATTGGTTTGGAAGAAGCTTTGGACAAAAACTTAAGATAATTGTGAAAAAGAAGGATATTTAAGTTTGAAACTGTTTTAGTCGTGTTAATCCTTACCAAGAGCTTTTTCTTCGCCTCCATTTGCTCCTGAAGCGAAGGTACATCGACTTCAGTGATATCAAATGGATTAAGAGTAATAAGTTCTGCAGGTATCTTGTCCAGCAATGCTTTGACTTCAGCCTCTTTCCTCTGTTTCTTATTCTGGAAGGGATTGCTTTCCAATGCGTCGAAGTTTGGCTCACCACTGCCTGTAATATATGAAGTAAGTTGTAATATTATTTTGATACTTTTTTGTTTAATTATCAAGGGACTCTACCGCGACCTATTACTACTGCTAATTTTATCATGCATTAGGTATGTTTGCACATCTCTCTGGATGTCAACATTCCGCGAAAGGACTTAGCCCATTGATAGTTTTCCGGAATAGAAGTATGTAGATAGTTTTTAACTTCAACTATAAAAGGTATTTTGATGGTCTAGTGGAATACAGTAGAATAAAATTGATTGTAGTGTAATTTTATCTCATCGGTAGGTTTTTTAAACATTCAACAACATAACCAGGTCTACGATCTCTTTATACTGAAAGTGAGTAAGTGAAATAAAATGTATTCTTACCTGGTACAATAATGCTCGTAAATCCGCTTCTGGTTCCAATACCTAACACATCTTCGTAGGGACAGTATTTGAAATTACTTATAGTTTTCGCCATCCTATGCCTTAAATAAGGTCTTTCTGTTGTTTGTGTGCAGCAATTGCTAAAAGAAGTTAAAATATTATTTTAAATATAACATTTAATTTAGGCATACCTAACTCAAATTAAATGTTTTTAACGAATGAAGAAGACTTAGTATGGTCATGGTAGAGTGATTGCGAGTACAAGGACCTGGTTTCTTGGGATTGGTAAAGTCTGGTAAAGTGTCAGTGGTAATATCAAAAATTCAAGTCAAGACTAGAGCCTATATAAGGCAAGACTTGCCCCCAATAACATGATACTCAAAATCAACTATTAATGACTATTGGATTTATCTGCTAACTCCTTCGGGATATAAAAGGTGCGCGGTTCGGGATATATAAGTGTAAAAAAATTATAAGCTTACTTGTATATTTCTACGACTTCATCCAATCCCACGGCAAGCATGTCCTTCTGTGAGAATTCTAAGTCTACAGGAGCACTTCTCAGTCGATAGTGTTGTACAGGCCCATCCAAATTCCTGATGTCCCAGATTTTCATACTTCTGTCTACACCCGACGTCGCCATGTACCTGATGATAAAAATAAAAACACATTAATTATAGACATTATTTTTTACCATTTGTGCCTGAATGATGTGCCAACACATCTACAAATAAAAAAAATGACGAATACTATGGAATAATGGAATCATTTGAAATCACGCAAATTCGCATAGTATTTGCGGAAATCATGTCATGTCATATCCTATCTTGGCTTTTAAATTAAGTGTATTTTGTTTATAAAAATAACAAATAAGAAAAGTTATAGTACTCACATTCCTCTATTATCCACAGCAATAGCAGTGAGTGGTGTTTTATGACACAATATCTTTGCCAGTGGTTCTTTGATAGTTGGAGACCAGAGTGACACGACACCTTTAGAGTTTCCTAAGCATATTGTAGCATTGTAGGGGTTCTGTGCCATTACTGATGTCCTTCCTAAATGATTGTTATAGTGTCCAACAACTTCACCAATGGAAATGTCCAACCATGTCATAAAGCCAAATTCATTCTGGAATAAAAAATAACTTTTTATTATGTTTGCTTGCAATAAAACAGTTTTATGAATCTTTTAACAATTTACATAAATTGTGTGAAAAATATAATAGAGTTTTTTTTTATTCAATCAGCAACCATATAAACCATATAACCAATAAAAAAATTTATATGTTGGGGGATGTGGTGTTTGGCCACTTTCGTGCCATGCATTAAATACTTACAGGTAGTCTTGCCAATTATTTCAATAAGTTGCCAGAACATATACTACTTATTGAATAAAATGTTACTACGACTATGACTTCTAGCTTAAAGATTCGAAAGGTCATTAAGAACAAAAATTTGTAACTTGTAACAAGTATGTCCTAATTACTTACAACAGCAGCCAGCAAGAAATGATAAGGAAGAAACTCCATCCTTAATATCTTGTCCATCTTCTTAACACAATGTAATTCTGTGCCAGTGTTGTCATACATGTAGAGCCATTCTTTCTGAGCTGCAGCTACCATTGTTTCTGTGTGCATCCAACTGGAAAATAGAAATACAGTTTGAGAACCTCATTTTATTAGTTCACCTCTCATCAACACCTGTAATACCTCACATTGTGATAAGTCTACTAATATGCATGGCAAAAATGCAATAAAATAATACTCTATTCACATGAAATAGGAAAATTTAGGTTTTAATATAGCAACATGACTCAGTTTTAATATAGTTGAGGTCTCAGTTATAAAACTATTATTATTGTTATAATTGATATACATACAATCTTTCGACTATGATTTTTTGTTATACATTCTGGTTTCATACTATTTTGGAGCTTACACAAATGATAAATTAACACCAACTGTAGATTACTGATCTTACCTGATGTCATGAATAGATTCCATAACATTAATTTCAAAATGGAGCTTCTTTGTGACCCAATCAAAGGCTGCCAAATGTCCTTTTTTACTGCCGAGTAGTAGATGCCGGCCATTTCTAGAATACTTTGCTCTGTATGGTCCAAAATCTAGGTTCAATTCAAATATTTTTGTTGCAGCAGATATGTCTACATTCTCTGCTATTATCTTCTGTGATATTGCTGTTGTTTTAACATCTTCATCTACCTCTAATCCACTGAAATAATTAATTGAATAACACTTCAATATTAGATTCTTATAAATCTCCATTCTTATATTCCATAATTATATAATATGTAAGGTATAATTGCAGTTTATAATAGGCTCATAGCCAAGTGTATTGAGTATAGTATTCAGGTAATTTTTAATAATAAGTAATAAGTTACAATAATTTAATCTTACCCATGGTCTTCTGTTAACAATATCTCAGCCCGGGCAGCTTGTTCTTGAGCATAAGTGTACTTCCTTTCCTTTTTCTTTAATTTTGCAGCATGCAATGGATGTTTTACACCCTTCCCTACACCTTCGCCCCGCGAATGAGCTTCCAATTTTTCAGGGTCTATTGGTGCTTTTCCTTTAAAGTTTTTATTTTGCTTTCTTTTCTGTATACGCTTATTGTCTGTTATTTTATTGTTTTTCTGAAACATTTATACTTATTTCAGTAAATTTTAAAGGAATCGTAGCATTATAACCTAAATTATGATAAGGTTTTGTTTACATTTGAGGAAATAGTCTGAAAGAAGTTTCTATAGCAATGTTTGCATGTTTGGGATTACCTTTATGTTGTATACTTCTACATTTTGTTCTTTCTGCTCAGAATTGTTTTCTGCAGCTTCAAAATAACGTTTTGGAGCGTTCTGTAAATTTAAAGTTTCAAAATATGTACTATTCAGTAATTGTATAACTAGATACCCAATTAATTAAATTAAAAACAGAAGACAACAAATTAACATATGCATTTATATTACCTTTTTTGGGTTCTTCATCTTTATAAACAAAACTCGTGGTCTTTTTAATTCAAAATATAAATGTTTTACCACACTTCACGTGTGCATCATGAACTGTTTTGACAGCAATGACATGACAGCATGGGCCGATGTTAGATCGTGTTGACACCTGACATTAATTTTTCACAGATTGTACAAGCATACGTTCCAGCTCTTACTTACACCTTAATTTTCTGCATCGGTTTTAGTCGATCCGAGTGAAGAGTACGTTTGTTTCGCTATAATTAATAATTACTTTGCCATTTAGTCAAATCCAATAGGTATTTCAAATTGTGAAACTGTACTCTTTGTACTGAGAATGTAATAAGCGTTATATCATCTATGGACACAAGTGACATCAGAGGAGTTGCAACTACGCTGGCGGCCTTTTGGGGATATGGGGTTTGGGATTTGGAGATTGAAGAAGGGGTATTGGGTAATGAAGGTGGGGCTTCTGGTAACCTCACTCACCCCGCGAAATAACTCTACTACTACTTTCGGTTGTTTCACGCCAGTTTTCTTTGAGACCGATACCTCTGTACTTACTACTTACTAGTAGGGATATTATGCGATATTTATTGACTTGGGTCATGTATAACTATTATTGTAGAAGAGCTTAGCTTAGATTTAAGTGTGAGAGTGCCATGCTTCGGCACGAATGGGTCGGGTCGACCGGAGTAACACCACGGCCTCACAGAAAACCGGCTGGAAGGCTGAAACAACCACAGCGTTGAGTTTCGCATTCGCAGTGTGAGTGAGGTTACCGGAGGCCCAATACTTGCATTGAAAAGTCTACATTATTTAGTCTAAGTCTAAGTCTAGAACTAATTTTACTGTATGGAAATAAAATAAATTGTAGTAAGTGATTCTATATCATCACTTAGTTCCCAGGTATCAGTGCCACATTTTAGGGACATTATGTGATATGTCGGCAAAGGCGCGGTCAGACCACCTACTGGTAAGTTAGCTGACCCGCCTACGAATATCTGTATCATCTAAGGCTTATGTAGTTAGGATTTTGAGAATTGGGGTAGGAGGACGGGTAGGTAGGAGTTTTTAACACCATCTTACAACGTGAATCGTCGTTTCACGCCGGCCCTGTCAAGCCGGTCCATTCATATCGAAACACATCGAAACAAATTCGTCCCACATTTGCAAATGCATATGAAATCGGCTAGGTTTGGACGAAAAACAATAGCCCCAATCATGAAAGGCTATGCCACGTCTATTGACCTGTGTTTTTAACATTCACGTGGTACACTAATGATGGCACATTGATTGCAAAATTTTATTTATTAGTGGCTGAAGTTTTGCTGGATAAGACAGAAAGCAGAACTGCACAATAAATGCTGTGAACAAATTATTTAGTCTTTAATTCATGAAATTCCAAGCGGACGCCGGCGTTCTCACACCTATTGTTCTTCACAGGTTAACAGATATCCGTGGTTATTTAAAAAATGACCCTAACCATTTAGAATAAAAATAAGTAATAATTTTGGTTACATTCACCTGGATGAGGGCCCTATAGTTCAATTTATATATTATGCTTATTTTGCCCTTCCCTATAGCTAAGGAAAATAACAACAACCGGAATAATCTTGGTATTTATTATTTTTATTCTCTTTAACAACACATACTCAATATTTTACAGAAACGTATATGACAATCAGAGTAGTAACATAGTAATAGGTTTTAGTATTTAAATGCGAATATTAATAATTCCTGTGTACCAATGTGATACCTTCAAAATGATATTTCAATAAAACAATACATTTCAGTTCATTCAACTAAAACAAGATTTGCATCTAAAACGATAGGATTGCACGTGTTTGTGTAAAGCGCTTTAACTAAATGTATTGCAAATTAACATTAACATGAGTTAATTAAGCTATCACATATTCCGTAAAGTTAACAATAAATAAGTAACACGTAACGTAATCACAGCAAGTGAACATTGGCTAACAAAGAAAGTAGGTATTCATTTATCCCTAAAATCGATTATCAATTAGTGACTGAATTATTAACTTACACGATCTAATGAGATCTCATTATTCCCTAATACAAATAAAAACGTCCCTATGACGTGACAACTAACGTTATTCACAATTTTATTTACAAACTGACTAGAAAGTCCTCTAAGGAGTTCATTATTTTTGTTTACATCGTTAGTATTTCTATCTCAATATTTAAGTCTTAATAGGTCAGCGTTGGGGAGTTGCTGTGACTCTGAAGCATTTGGCACATTCCCAGCATTATCAACTTTTAAGACAGATTAACAGTGTTTACTTAAATACTATTTTATTTCCTGCTGCTTGATAGAAAATGAGTTGCATTTGAAATTAGAAATTTCCTAACGTGACCGACATCAGCCGGCCGGCCATTCAAATGATAATTTATTTATATCCAAATGTAGGTACAATATTTACACAATTGATTCTTATGCGTTTGTGAGGCTAAAATCGCTTACATACAATAGTATAAATTTCTCACCTAACAATTACATTAATTTTAAGCATATGAGTAACAGTGTTTAAAATTTATTTTATGTCTATATAGTCCAGCTTACAGATAAAAGTCGAACGAATCTTCGAGTGTTAATTGATGTCATAAAGAAGTCACACATCGTATACAACGGTTTACAAAAGACATCGTTACCTAATACTTAGTAGAACACAAATACCTGCCCGTACGTTCCCCGCGGGACTCACTGTACAGTCATTATACCTAGCACGAAACTATTAGTCCCTCACGTAGCGTCACGCAGTCGTAGTCTTTGTCTAATATCTTTGGTGAGTAGCTCCGAGACAGCCTCCGCACTACCACGAACACAAAATTGTACTAAATTCACATTGTCCGTATCACTGATAAGCTCCGCCGATGGCACACAAGTCAGTTAAGTTCACTGTCGCTCCGGTTCGGCGGCGCTTTGTGAACCTTAAATGGGTGTAGGGAGCACTGTGAAGTCCTGAAGCGCATTTTTCACGGTTTCGTAGATGGGGCGGTTCTCGTCGGGGCAATAGCCGTCGGGAGAGCACAGGGTCTGCAGCTTGGTGAGGTACGAGTCGAAGTTGTCATGTGCCGGCTTCTCCCCGGGCCCCGGCGGCGGCGGCGCGCCCGGGGTGCCGCCCGCCGAGCTCACTGGCACCGTGCCTCCGCCCGGGATCCTCACGTGCTCTAGCAGTGTGATCACATTATTCCTCAGACTTTCATAATACTCATTCAGATTGTTGTTGCGTTGTATTAATGTCTGGTTTTCCTGAAATACCAAGGACCACATAAATGTCTAACACATATTTTCTTTAACTTAAAAGTAGGGCAAATAATAAAAAAGTTGCAATTTTGAGTGGCTACTATTTGCGATAGTGGTACCAAATTATAAAAAGTTGGTACTCACAAAAATGTATGATGTTAGTAGCACTCAAAGTTGGATGTTTCGAGCCATGACAGTACCATCTAAGTTGTCAGACAAAAATTATGGATTAAAATCTTTCACTAGGTTAATGAAGATTTTTGGATCATGGCTTTTATTTTGTGCGTGAGTTTAAAAAGCCAAGAATTGAAAATAAAAATAAAAGTAGGAAATAGGAGATTGTAATAGGTTTCCGTTAATGTGTTATGCAACTTACCCTATCTCCATGAGAAAGGTGTGTCTCCATAGCGTTGATATCTGATTTGAGACGCATCATCTGCGACTCTACGCGCGCGTTCTCTCTCTGCAGCTCCGTTATCTCTTGCTCGAGGGTCATCAGATCCTCGCCGTTCCCCGTCTGCATATTCATCTCCATCCCTGAATGCCAGAACATTATCTGTAGTAAGTTTATGGGTCTTAATTACACGACTTTAGTGAATTAGTTAATCTTATTTCGAGAGGCAAAGGGACTTTTTTGGTGATTGAAAAGCAATTTGCTAATGTATTAATTGGAGAACGAAGTGGTTGAATGGGCTACATACCTGTATAAGGCTTTGGGTATAGCGGCGTGATATCATCAGGATATTTGGGTTTCTTTGGCTGCGGTGTGGGTGTCGCCGCTCCGGCCACCGGGCACCCAGACAGCGAGCGATGAGTTAGAAACGAGCCGTTTATGTGACCAGAGCCGTCACAGCCTGGCGTCGGGCAGTTCACTCCGTCGAATTTGATGGCCGAGGCTGCTGCCGCCACCGCCGCCTTGTGTTGCTCTACCGTGCCTCCGCTTTCGAGCACCCGCATTTTGTTGCGGTTCGCGATTGGGCACCCTGAGGCACTGAGGGACGGAAAACCAAACAAATTAATTCACGAACCTTCCTCAGCACGCACTTACTACCGCACTATCTAATAACTACACAGCTATCTACGTTCCACTGAGAATCGGTCTTACCTTCGATGCGATAAGAATTTCCCTGTAGCGTGTCCAGATCCATCACAGCCCGGTATAGGGCATCTAAGCAGCGTGGAAATAACCAAGAAACTTATTGGATTACAGAAGAAATACGGTATTCTCTAAACACTTTAGTTTCTACTGAGTTGGAAGGTCAGATGTATGAAAGCAACGCGTGTTAGTTGTAATGCTCCTAGAAATTCAATGCCATACATAAATTACGACAATGCATGAATATAATTAGTTGGGAGCAGCTCAGATGTCGAGTGTCATATTACTGCAACTACGACTATCTGTCATTACAATGGACGTGAATGCAGTAAATTACTTATACGTGTAACTATTTTGTTGTTTGGAAACAAAGTTGCACATGTCGCGTTTATTACGGAGCCATTCAATAGAAAACTTATTTATATCCTTGCACTTTGCACATTTAGTTACAAGGCTCAGAAAACTCCATCTTCAGCAATATTCAATAAATTCATTAGTAAAAATCACTGATATAATTTGCACCCAGTACCACAAATTCGGATAACCAAATTGGTAACTCACCTCAGTGGCTCGGAGTCCTGTCCGTCTCTAGGCTTGCTCTTTGGCTTGTTAGCTCTGGGGCAGCCAGAGAGGGAGCGATGCGAGGAGTAGTTGCCAGTGACGTGACCAGAGCCGTCGCAGCCAGGCGTGGGGCACTTGAGCTCTTGTGAATGCGGCTGAAGCTGGGAGCGGTCGGCGCGCGGACAACCGGACAGGCTGCACATAAACAGACTGCTTACAATGGCGTGCCATCACAGCGTACCGTAGCTTGCAGCGGATTTTGAAATTTGTTTATACCTAATCTGTCTTAGAACTTTCGATCTTGAGACAGTTTTCTGGGGCATTGATGTTATGGCTAGTTAGGAACAACGCTGGATGTGACTTTGAAAACATAGCACCAAACTGGTATAGGTACTAGTCTAGGGAGAAAACATAAGGAGTAAAAAGTTTTAAAGGTTTCTGCAAAAAGTTTTTAAGGTTTCTGCAAAGAGCCAGAATCCCAACCCGAGTTATCAATTCATTTATTCCTTTCCCAATCTGAAATATAATCAAAAGATCTTTTCTACCGCTTGACAAACAAGTCTTCATTTTTTTTGCTTAGGAATTTAAACCACACTAAAACTTTAGTCCTAAAATTCATAACACGATTTGATATCTATTCAATCAATGCTTTGTTTGTCATATAAAGTTATCAATACCAAATAATATGGTACCGCTGCAACTCCTTTCGTATCAAACTTTGCCTCTATTGGGGCAAGTAGAACTAATGCCGTTACATTATTTCTATGAAGAATACACGCACATTAAGCTACCCTGAACTGTGAAGTAGATTTTGAACCTAACATAATCTTGTTATAAAATCTAAAAGTCTTAGTGGGCTGAAGTCTGTATTCAAATGTTTTTTTATTTGTTAATTATCTTTGTGATAGATGTGTCATTTGGTCTCACTTGATGGACCCACGTGGAGTTTTATTGTTGCAAAGATTGGTATCAATGTGCATCATACGTGTTTGGTATCGGCATTATGTACATAAGCTTTTATAATAGGTCGGTACTAAATAGAATATTATAAAACGTAAGTTGAGCTGTTGTTTTTTTTTTAACTTATGCCCATTGATTTAAGTCTTTTGGACGCATAAAGTATAGTAAGTTAGATTGACTTGGTCATGTTAACATGTTTCAAAATAAAATAAATTATAAACATTTATAAACTGGCTTCATGCTGATTTAAAACACCGTGTTTTATTACCGACGTATTTTTATTGGGATCCATTTTGGAATAAATAGCCTTCAGGAAGTTTTCTAAGTAAAGTTACAATAATACACGGCTCATTATTATTATATAATAAAAATAAGTACCATTTTTTCTACTCATTTGCGTTACGTTGCCAAATTGATTCATTCATTTGTACAAACTTAATACCAACGCTCATAATGATCATGTTTGTAAACAAATACGACGCAGATCAATGTTTGCCGTTCATTCGATGTACCTCACCATTAAACAAAATCAGAATTATTACAATTATTTTCATTAGATTCAAGTATATTAGGCCTACAAGAAATAAAACTCATTTTACAATTTATTGGTAATCATAAAAATAGTTCGGTCGGCTGGCATGCATCTGCTAGTTTACTTCTAACGCATTTCAATTTAAATTTAGAACACACAAGGAGATTTTCGTTTTTCGAATAGTACTAGTATGTACCTAGTATCCATAAATAAAAGTGCCAGAAACATTCGAACTTATGTAGTCTATGATTGTTTCTTTTTATTTTCTTGTACCAAAAGCAGGTTGAGTTATTTAGTCTATTATGACGATTAGCGTAAACCTATTTGTTTGTTAATGCGCTAATTGAAAGAGAAGCGGATAGTAGCTAGTAAGTATGTCAATTAACTGTTTGCTTTGAGTTAATTATTATTTTATCATATTATTGTACCGGATTTCGTAAATATTTAGCCGTAATTGGTTTAAATTATCTTGATTTCGATTTTAGAATTCAATTCAACTTTATTGCAAAATTAATTATTTTTTAGAAAAAAAAATATTTGGGTGATTTCTAAAATATTCAGGTATTTGGAAATCTCTCCAAGAAGCATAAACAGTCATTAGCATAGAGCAGCGACATTGTTTTGTCATTGTTTATATACTTATCTTTGAAAACAAAAGTGGAGTAACGAATTCACGAGGCACTATGTCATACGCAACATAGGTATGCAAATAATGATGCAGCCGACCTACGTAAGTAACGAGAAGCTGCTACATAAAAACACACCTTATCTTGCACGTCATAAGATTTTAAATTGATAAAAGGTCTCTCACCGATTGCAGCTCAAGAGTATAATGTAATTTTTATCAGGTGGGCGATAGTAGATATTTGGTTCTATAGAACACGTTTGTGACGTAGTGTCTTCCACGTTTTCTTTATCACGATATTGTTTATTTAGTATTTGTAATAAGGTATTATAATTATTTGCACACACAACTAGAACACGCAATATTGTTAGCGTAACAAGGCGTAAAACATTGTTATAGCACGACCTCAAACGAGGAATATTAATAAAGGCATGCGGTTAGTTTGCATCAAAATCCCGTGGGACGCCGCCAATTGGCGCGGAAATGCGCAAATTGTCGCTCAGGGGCGCAATTGTTGACGCTCTACTTAGCTGTACAAACGTGAAACATCGAACAATCTTTGTTTTGAATAATTCGATATTCAAAATCCAATAAGTAGGCATTGATGAGAAAATAAAAAGAAAATTACAATATTCCGATATCAGTTATAAGTGATTTGGATTTAAGTCTAAGCGAATGTGAGTGAATTTAATTTTAAAAGTCAAGTCAACTCGAAAAGATCATTAAATATTTCATGTAAAGTTCTGTTTATTTGAAAATGTTAATGACCATTCTGAATTCAAATAAAGACAAAAAATATTTTGTTCGGAAAGAAAGATTGTTCCATGTTCAAATTTTGTACAGCAGCCAGAAATTGCAATCGCGGACGTATTCAGCATTGACTCCGCTTGCCTGCGGTGTGTCGCGAAGTTGCCAGAAATGTGGCCGGAGCCGTCGCAGCTCTCGACAGGGCACTGGATGAGCTCCCTCGACTCCCGTATCCGGTAACTCAGTTTCCCATAAAAGTCGTCGCGGTGATAGCTAGCGTGAATAAATACATACGTAACAGTATTGAACAAAAATAATATTAAAGGATAATGTTCAAAATAAATAAAATAAGTCATAGAAATTATTTAAAATAGATTCTCATATTATACCTAATTATCCCCAATTGAATTTTACCTGGCGAAGACATACTAATATGAAAACAAAACTACAAAAAAGTTTGTAAACTAAAAACTTTGCCTCCAAAAATGTTATCTGGTTCGTGGAGCGAAGTTTTTAAATGTTTACAAAGTTGGTAATAATAGCTACTTGGCGCTGTGTTTACGTATTGTATGATAGGAAAACTATAAAAAAAGTTTTAAAGATACATAAAAAGTAATACAACAATTTTAATTCTCACCTATTTCGCCGCATATCTGCGCCGTTGTTAATAATAACGGCAGGAAAGTAGCACAAATATAATTTAAAGTATGTATCTTATCGTCCGTGTGTAGTTAGTTATCTGGCGTGCGCGCAGCTCGCACAGCGCGCCTGCGCGGCCGCCGCCGGTATATTTAGACTGATCCACCAAGTGTGACTTGTGTACGTTCGAAAACTTTCAATAGTAATGTTCTAACCTAAAATAACTTCACGTTGTTGTAATAGTTCATAATGAAAAAATCTACGTGGGATATTTGAATGAGAATCCATTTATGTCACGTGCTATTTTTGTTTTGTTATTCTGTACATTAGTAATAAGTAGGTAGTAAATGTAATATAACGAATTTTACTTGTTTAAAATATATTAAGAGGAGTATAGTTAACTTCCGTGACTTCCAATTACGCATTTTTTATATGTTAAACTTAATTTTAAAAGATCAAAAGTGGCAACTAATTCAATCAATATTTCAAAAATAACCGTAACAATTTGATAGCGTTGACATTTGTAATGTCAACAAATCAATTGCTCAGGTGACGCAGTAGCCATGCAACCGCATGGGACAACTGTTTGTGTGATCCATATATTGTTGTTTCGGATCTGGGTGTTAAGTAAAGTAAAAAACAAAGCCCTGTGAGGGCATAATTTTTTTAAAATGACGTGTTTAGAATACTGTGAGTTGCTGATAGAGATCTTAATCATAGCACAGCAATAAATTCCCAAGATTAGGAAAAATAGCCAAGTCATATTTGTTTATAAACAAAACCGCAGAAAAGTCCCATTATTCAAAAGTATGCACGAATAAATTAACGTATTTTTACAGAACACACCTAAGAGTTACACATGATTTAAAAGTTTAAAACGCACTTCTCGATTTGACTCTTAACACAGATTATAAATAAAAAAGACACAATGTAATGTTTTCTGCGAGTATCCGAACGCACACTGAATACGGAGCCAAGGCGGCCAAGTGTTGAATGTTTTCACTTACGTCATTCATTCTATGCCGATCAACAAAAGAAAACACGTTGTGACGAATTCAATACGAGCACACTTGTGTTGCAGCTGTGAGAGGGAACCGAAGTCTTTTTTTATGTAAAGATGATCAAAGTAATAAAATAATGTCAGTACGTACCTACGTACTGACTGTAGAGGCTGAACAGACGTGTTTCCTTTGCCGAGTACAACATCAGACTAACAACATTTGAATTTTGTAATCAGAAATGAAGAAGTTGAGACGTCATGTCCATAAATTGTTAACAACTAATTTAGTTTGTATCTTATCTTTGCTTCTATTGTTTTGGAAATTGTAAAGATAAAGATATTTTTGCTTTTTGCATTCAATAGCTTTCATAATGCACTCAATTGTTTTACAAATCCATACATTTTTATTATTATTACTCCAAAACATTGTAACCAGAATCAACAATAAAGCAATAAAACTTACAATAGGATTAAAAAATGCCACCTGGCTCTCCTCAAAATGTTGAGTTCTAGGAATTCGTATTTATCCGCTACGGTATAAAGACAAAAGTTCCGTGTGGGGGATAAAGTTATAGCATGTGGTATTTTTATAATTTTTAAACTAATTTTAAACAGTAACATCCAGAAAAAATATTGAATTTATAAACGGAAGATATTTTTTTATATAAGATGCTTTAAACGATGAAACGATACATGGATATAGAAAAATAACAGAAGTACGTTTCATTAAAATAATAAATTAAAAATTATTTGTAAATGGAATTCCAGACAAAAAAAAACAGAATTTGCTTACTGTAAGGCAAATCAGAATCACCGAGACGGAATTAAAGTAATTATTTTTTCATATGTTAAAAGAGCCTTATGTAATATTTCATACTTGTTCATTTGTATTTTACGGAAAGATGTCTGACCTCCGCAACTCATAAGGGAATAGTTTTACTTGTCTAAACATATATTAAACCTATTTAAGCATTATATTTTTGCTTAAAAAAATAAGATTTCTATAAATCACCATCGACATCTTCTAGACTAGGAAATAATTACCACGTTTGCTTAAGAACCGTATTGGCGATTTCACACTTTAAATTAAGATCATGAAGTCCAGGTTTCCTTGTCAACGATATATCAATACTAGACAACCTTGGGCAAGCAAACTTCCTAGAAATTGTGCTAAGTCTCAAGGTTGGTGCAGCCGGACAAGTATTTAGTTAGGCGTAGGTTTCTGAAGGCCTTTCAATACTTTTACAATACGCAATTAAACCCGTGACGAAAGTCCTAAGGTTGCGTAGGAAACAAGCCTTTACCTTGCTCTTTAGAGTTCAGTAATTTTCCAGAACAACTATGAAATTCCTGGTAGATGTAAAATCGTCTTTATTGACATACATATCTATATACTATACTTATATAAAAAATCAACGAAAAAGGTTAGAGAGAGTACTATGTGACACTTAGTGCTGCTTTTTGCTTGCCACATAACAATGTGGGAGTCATATTTACCAAAAAGTTTTATCACTAGAGAAAGAGCCTAACCTAATAAAAGCGATCATTTTCGTGCTAACTATCAGAAAGCAATTTTTGGATTAACCTAGAATTACTTAAATATTGACACATTAGCATCAAGTTTATTAGGTAAGGGTTTTGTTCCAATTAGTATCCTGTAATGAATAATATTGTATTTATTTATATTCACCTGCTATCTTTGGGTTTGTCGTGCGGGGCGTGTGGGGGTGGCATGTAGCACGGTGGGGAGTACGGCGGTGCATGCGGCGGGTACGCTGGTGGCGGCGGGTACGCTCCACATTGGTACTGGTAGCCGCCATAGCCAGCCGCCGCGGCCGCCGCCGCGTAATCCGGCTGAGCCAGCCCGTAACCCGCTACTGGATGTGGACTGACACCACCATAACCTAAGACAAGAGATAACACGTAATGAAGTCGCTCATATCACAATTTGTTTCGTGGTAGAGTACATACTACACTATATTTACAAAGGCGTATCACTTCCCCATTTATTAGTAAATATGTATATTAGATAATAATATCTATCCATATCACCATGTACTTCGATACGCTCAGTTTCTAATCAAGTATTCCATAATTATGACTTCAACCCTCGAGATCGCAAGATTTATAATTATAACAAAAACCTCGCGAGGGAAACTTTTGTGTACATTATAGAACGAGTCCCAGTAATGTTGTACGGCGCGGTTTACAGAATACGGTGAGCGCCGTGAGAATCCAGTAGCTATTATAAATTTTAATTAAAGCTTCGTATACAGTGATCCACAAAAACCGCGGTGTACACCGGCATGTAACCGCGGAGCGCAGAGAGCGGGCCGCGCGTACAACGCATGGGACTCATTACCGCGGTCGCGTTTTAATTTGTACGACGTGTTTAACGGTACCGATGAGTACGCGACCTTACGAGGGGTTACATGTTGCGAATATGAGACATATAATAGCTCATATAAAGTATTATATTAAAGCTAAATGAGCTAAGAAAATTATGCGCTCGATGATAATTTGGATAATGAATTATTTCCTTACCGGCGGTGTCTCGATGGTAAGCTTCAAGGTACGGATGGCTGCCACCACTGTCTGGAGTTGATTCTCGACTGTAGGAGACTCCGCCGGGGAAACCTCGACTGTTGACAGACAAGTTAGATTAATAGTCCGCAATAAGTTGGTACGTTATATGAACCTACAGTACGAATTGCCTCACCTATGTGGTAAACGGGAAACGCTAAGGTCGAGAGTTTGGCCCTGCGGACTGGGCACTTGAGGGCTGGCTGTGAGCTGAGGCGAAGCTCCCGGCTGCGGGCTGCCTCGAGCACCGCCCCCGCTGCCACCACCGGCGCTTGTGTACACCGGAGATGCGTATGGACCCTGTTATGAAAATTTATTTAGTTTGGGCAATTAACTTAAGGGCCGGTTCGTCTAATGCTTAGCGTCGTTTCTCACCTGTGGACTACCACTAGAAGTGGAAAGATCTATGGCGGGGCGAGGATCGCGAGGATCCCGGGGCGTGGGGCTCCGAGGTCGCTGTGCTTGCGCCGCGGCGATCTTCACAGACAAGTTGATCGCGGAGAAGCCGGGCGGGACGCCGGGGCCCATCGCCGCGACGCCACCCACCGCACCTACGCCGCTACCAGTCTCGTAGTGGTACATTGGTCTGGTGGGATACGGCCAATTTTGAACATTTCGTAAGAGGAAAACAAAAACCGAAATCTACATGTTGCTTTACTATTTTCTCGAAGAGTTTAAGGATCTAAGCACCCCGTTTACCACATAGGCGTTCGGCATTGTCGTTGTGACCTACCTAGGGTATATGGGTCCTGAGCTGGTTTCTTGTTCAGACTGGTCGGTTTTCATGGGAGTAGGTAAGTGGGGGTCATGGTAGCGTTCTTCTTCCCAGCCGTAGGGCCGTTGGGGGCACTGCGCGGGGTCGTAGCGCTCAAACGCCGGAGCTCCTTCGTAGCACCGCGACTCGTAGCCGTACCTCGCCTCGTTCATTTGACTACGAAACGAATTGCAACGTCAAACCCTCTCCATTTGAATATAATAACAAATTCTTAACATATTAGAACGATCATTATATACTTAGTCATTTATTTGTTGAAAACATCAATCATTGGTATTCTTCACTTGTAGCAATAAATTGCAGTCACAAGTAACTAGAATATTGTTATGGACGCTCGCAAAATTAGTCTTCAACTTAGCTTTTGATGTAGTCACATTACAGGTAATTAACTTGAACCATGTGCTCTAATGATAATTAGGTACATTAGTTATAGCTTTATAATTGCAGCTTTTCAAACATGCAGAAATGCTGCGATCTCACACTGCTGATACATAAATATCGTTCTGTTGTTCCTATTTTCTATTTCATTTGTACAGCGCTGTTGACGTAATTTAGCGGATAACCTAGAAGGACCATTTAAAAAAATAATTATTTCGAAGTTACTTAGGAAGTATTATTATTTGTAAACAATGCTATTGAAAATAATAAAGTTTTCTTGTTTTATTGTTCACAGCTTTTTGATGCGGGTTAATGACTACAATTTCAACATATTAATTTTAAACCTGCACCAATGTTGTGAATTAAACGAGAAATTCATGTATTATATAGAGAATTTCGGATTATTTTTTGTATATGTTTGTACACAGGATTTCGGGAACAGCTCCAACGTTTCTAATGAAATTACGGAGCTAGGTTTCATTATCAAAAAATAAAGAAAATGAAAAAATACCGAGCAGAGTAACATACTTAGTACCGAAGTATTAACATTCTACATAATGAATACCAAAGTAATGTCATACATATGTGAACAATTTACCTGTACGACCGAACGTGGTCATCGGGAGGTCTTTCATACGGGGACCTCTGGTCGGGTGGCGCGCCGTAGCCGGCGTGGCGCGTCTCCATGCTGGGGGAGTCGCGCTCGGGCTCGGCGGCCTCGCGCTTTGGCACCAGCAGCTCGCCCTCTCGCTTCACGGCGGGGCTGCGAGGCGATGCCTCGCGGTCCCGAGAAATGCTACCCGAAGAACTCGCTACACTCTCCTGGCTGATCGCAATTGGTGGCTGCGATATTGAACTGTGTGGTACTGGAGACAAGAAGGATATTGCTTTGGCTGTTGTAGGAGTATAATACTTGTTGTCGGTAAGCGGTTGGAGAATTGTAGGTGTTTATTTGATAGTATCGCTGCCTTATATGATAGTAATGTGCACGCGAAACAAATTTACCAGTACTGAGTGTAATCGGACTGCATTGGTTACAATTTTAATGAAACAACTTAAGTTCTTCAAGTCTCTATCTCTGATATAAGAACTAAGATCGGGACATTTTGCAAATTCTCATGTGCATTTTTTTTGGATGCAAAATCATTAAGCTACTTAACATGCCCTCGTCAGACTCTTACTGACTAAAAATCACTCGTTCCTTCTATTGCTCTAGGCGGAGACTGCAGTATATAATTGCTATGGAGACAACAATCCCGGCTCTATTATACTCATCATGACATTCAGTTTTATCTGTTATAAACGTGGCACCCGAATCGAGTAATTAACTTCTTCTAATTTGAATAACCAAAAAAAGACTTAAGAAGAAAAGACAAAACATTGTTTAAAAAAGAAACATAGAAATCAGTAGACAATGTAGTGTATCGTTATGATACATAAGCAAGGAGTATATTATATGAATGAGGTCGTTACCAGCAGGTCTTGCTCTCTGAGATCTAGCGGCGGCCTTACGCGCCGCAGCAGTAGGACAGCCCGACAGGGAGCGGTGTGTGCTTCGATTCGAGCTGACGTGGCCGCGCCCGTTGCACCCCGGCGTCGGGCACTTCAATATTGTCTCGTGCAACGCCAATACTGGACAATCACGTCATATCTCAGTACAATCCAATCAATACGAATAACATACGTACGTACGCAATGCAACACCGATCAAAACTTTATTCATAATTAATTATCTTCAAGTTCTACCCTCTTTATAATTATTATCTATTGATCATCATTATAACAACTAATTCACAAATACGAAAACAATCTACGAACATTAAAATTGCAACTGAAAACCAAATTAAAAAACTAAAGTAAACACGAGAACTAAAATACCTAAAGTAAACAACTGAGGTATAATTGCTAGAACAAAATATATGCAACTCAAACTGTGAAGCTGTATACTGTTATATTTCAGTTCTACTTACTCTCCGGAGTGACTTTATCCTTTCTTGGACATCCTGACAGACTGGGGGAACAAATAAACATCAGTTTTGCTATAACTTTTCTATACAAAGTGTTGAAAGTTCGATAAGTACCTAATACTAATCTAAAGTCTAGTAAATCTTTAAGAATTGTAATTTGTGTAATTTAGTGTAAGATGTATTATACTGCATCATTCAATGCCTAACATATATTCTCATAGCGACTAGTTATGTATAACGGGAGGGCGCATCGGTTCCCTGAAACCGGGCTTATATCTGTTGATTCTGCAGAGCTCTACTGAAAATCATCGAGTCAGCACTCACCTCCTGTGGTGAGTGTATAGGCCGGTGACGTGGCCCTGCCCATTGCACCCGGGTGTGGGACACTTGTTGCCTTCTGTGAACAAATCGAGCGGTGCACAAATTAGTGTTTTCCTGATGAGCGGGTGGGGGCGTGCGCGAGCGATCGATACCGACGGGCGTGCCGAGGCCGGGGCGTACCTGCGCGGCCCCGCCCCGCGTGCCACCCACCCCACGCACAACTTAAAAGAAAAAATAAAGAACGCCAAGCGGCTGCGCGCGGACTACCAATTTTTCTTTCAGGAGTTGCGGGGCGGTGCGCCAACGCCCCGCCCACCGCCAGTCCTGACCCGTTTTTATTGCTCGTCGCCCTGACATAAACCCAGCTATCGCCCAGCAACACGAGGAAAACGCTTAGGTATTTTATATACGTTATCGACTTAGGTGGGAGTATAACCTTATTGTGACCGTCTCCTACTAAATTATGGAGACGTCTTACAAATGAGAGATGATTTGTTGCAAGCTTTTGTTGCGAATTGGAGTCTGTATTTACGTGAACCTACAGTAACTTACGACAGCCGATTCCAATGTTATTACCGAACAAAGACTGAATAATCGCGATGAATGAAAGTCTTAAGTTTATTCAAAGTGCACATAATTACACAATGATGCAATATTACATGACAGCTGTAGTGAACATCGACCCGACTACGTTATGAGATTTCGCGAGACGACCTTGAAACAAACTTGGAGTTAGTTCATAGCGCGGAGTTGTATGTTATGGCCAGGTCATTAAGAAAGTTTGGCTATCGTTGTTTGAGGTGAGTGCGGCGGTACCTCGTGCCGGCGGGGAGAGCGCGTTCAGCGGCCGCGAGTCGCGTGCTGGCTGCGCCGAGGGCACGGCGCGCGCTTCCTGCAGCGCCGTCGCCGCGCGGGACCCGGCACCCGCGGGCTGCAGCACCGTGTACTGCTTCGACCCCTTGTGCTCCTTCCTATCGTGGTCGTTCGAGTACCCTCCAAAAGGTTCACTCGGTAATGATGAGTTGTGGATTCTATGTTTCACTTCGGCTGGCGGTTTGAAGGCTGACTGCGTGGAATACGGTAAAGCTGCCGTAGCAGCCTTGTAGGCGTTGTATAACGATTGCTTGTTTACTGTTACCATTTCACTTTTTCGTTTTGGCTTAATATCCCTGTCATCGTCGTATCTGTCATCACATCGATCAGACATATCTATTTCTAGTTCGTTGGAAGACGAGTCGACGAGTTCGTCGAAATTTGGCGCTCCATACTGATTAGATTGTCTACTGAGTCTATCGTACTCTTCACATTTTTCTAATTGTATCGTGATAAGGTTGGTTTTGGTCTCGTGCTCATTGATTCCATTCATATGTTGAGCTTGATGGTGTGTCGAGTAACTTTTTTGAGACATATCGGAAGATTGGGAAGGGGAAGACTGCATTTTTTCTGATCGTTTGTCGTCAAACAAGTTTTCGAAACCATTGGCATCGTCATTTTCTTCGGGATTGTGTTGTTGCGGTGGTTCCCGATTCCAGTTGCCAGACAGTGTTCTTAATGCTGCTTGCGTTTCTCGGATTAGTGTTTCGTCATCTTCTTCGGGTTGTCGCAGAGTTTGCGGTCTGTGCATGGGTAACGGACGGCGGCGGATGTCGGGTTCATCTCTTCGTTCGTCATCTAAGAGCCGTCGTCTTCGCTTGCCGTGGATTTCTTCCTCGTCCATGGAGCCTTCACTGCTGATACGCTCCAGGCGTCTTTCGTTTGTTCTAAACGTTTCTACATCCACGCCGAACTCCAATCTTCTTTTGTTGATCTGGGATATGGAGGCTTGAGTGGTTAGCGGCACCGTCCTGAAACAATTGACATTGTCAGAAATGTTCCCAGACCCCGACGATGGCATCAAATAACACCAATAATATAATGAATCATTGTACTTGCGATTCGATTTTTCCATCCACAATCAGAAATTTTTACGCGGAAATGATTCTCGGCGTTTCCAATCGACGTTTCACATTAGAAGCACTTTGTTGTTGTATTTATTTGCACAAAAATCGTTCCCACGTAAAAACCATTTCACTCAAGAGCTTTCAAACCAAATAATATATAGTTTTGTCATAATTGACGACGTAAGACATAGTAGGAATTAAGCATAGATTACGGTTAAAGAAGTTTAAAATTCGGTATTCGGTAACATAAATGGTGAAGGTAACTTGTTTAAATCTAGGTTATTTCGAGTTTTATCCAATGGTTAGTGTTTGGCGCCGATGAGTCGAAGGAAGTACCAAGTTATTACCGTGAGAGCCAGGGAACGTCGCACCACGCATTTCAGATTGATACCTAACTTTGTTTTCTAGTATTTGTTCGCTTTTAAACTTTTTATCAGTGAAATTAAACTTACGTAAAACTTTTCCAGAAAAGTTTTTGAAGTAAGTGTGTCAATGTGACTATTTTTGTTTACTTTTTTTGTCTCCTTAATGTCCTTCAGGTTTGTTTTCGTTTGAGGTTGTATAGCTTAATTTGTTTAAAAAGTATTTTTACAACGAAGGTTTTATAAATAAACAGGGTTTAGACTATTATTGTAGGAGTAAATATTTATTAAAATTTGTTTTTTAAGATATGTTTCATTTACATTCTTCATTCACCTAAGCTTAGAAATAACCAAAAGCACACACACACACACCCACACAACACACGCACACGTAAAAGAAAACGTATAACTTGATGTTTCTTCGTATTGTTCTGAGGTTTCTAATAAAACCCAATTCATCTCTAGATTCAATTGGCGTTCATTACCGACTCGGCATAACACACTAGAGTTCAACAGACAATATCGTTCTCAATATAAACGTGTTTTCCGGGCCCAACAATAAAGTTGGGCCCATAACTCCATAAAGCAATCGGGCTGATTTATTGATCGGCGATATTCTCTCTCGAAGTTGTGCAATATGCGCCCGACTCGAGTAGAGATTGTAATCGATGGTCCTTGACGGAGGTACCTACGGGGAGCCCACCGGAAGGCCGAAATACCGATAGTACGACGCCCGGCAAACATTTACGTACGTGACGCACCCTCAAGTCTGTACTGATGTAAACCGAAATTACGTAAACGTGGAGCGTTTTCAGGCGTCGGGATTGGGACGGAACGTTGGTTTTCGCGTTCGGGTTGTGTTCGTGTGTTGGCGTAGGGTAATTAGATAAACCCTGAGGGCGGTAGATGCTTAACCGGTTTAAACTAGTGCTCGTGCGGACCTTTATCAGCGGGTGGCGAGTGGCGGGTTATCTCGGGGCCGCGTTAATTGTAATGCCTGGAGATTAGGGCGCGATATAAGGGCGGTCGCGGTGCGAATTTGCGGAGCCGAACGCGGCCGGATTAAGGAAGATGCCGAGATGAGACGTGACTGCTTTATATGGCGAAGTGATACTGTTTTGGTTTTGGTCGTACGTTAGTTAACGTTTAATGTTTTAGTTTTATTTTTATATATTTATTGAGTGATTAAAAATACAATGTGTTAGTATATAAGTAGTAAGTGTATTATGTGTCTAGAAGTCTAGCACCTTTTGGTTATTTTGTCATTTATCTTCTCAAGGGGGGTTCCCTTTTGATACCCTTATTGATTAAACATTTGTCGCTATCTTGAACTAAGAAGCCTATAACTGTAATTTACCTATTGACATAAACATGTACATTTCATTAAGTTAAGATAGTAGTACCATTATGTCTTAAATATGCGTGAATAGTTTTCGCGTAAATTCTAAATAACAATAAACTATACGCACCAACATGAACGCAACACACATCTATCATAACAAATAAACTCAAGAAACTGAGCTATTGTTGAAAATCTCATTTTCATAATTTCTCATAATTCCTTAAAACTCTATTATAATTCCTTAGAAAACGTGAGGTAGAAGAGCTGAGACCCTTTCCCGCCTGGAGCAATAATAAACACGCGTCGGCCTCCCGCGGCCCCTCAGACGTGGCTTCCAAATTCAAATTGCACCTTAGAATTCTTAATTATTGAAATCATAAATCAAAACGTGCCGTCTGCGCGGGCGACCATAAAATTGTGAAGGGGGGTACGAGCAAAGTCGAGTGTGGTAGGATTAAGACATTATCACTTTTCTTTCAAGCAGTCGCGCCCTCCTTGGCCTCGCTCGACTGTAAATCAGCGAGTAAATCCTCTGGATTAGATTCATAGAGTTGCCGCGGCCTGCGGATCGGGCGGTACCGATAATGGCGTCGTGTGCTCGCGTGATTTTGCTTTTAAATCGACTCCCGGGAAAGATAAATACTCTTCCAATTTGGCTTCAGCTTTGAGTCTCCCGTTTAAATAGCGTTAATGGAACTTGCTTGGAGTTTAAAGCGAATAACAACTGGGATGGGCTGATAAGTGGACACTGCCTTTGGATGAAAGTTACGCGAAGTTTAGATGTCAGATTATGATGTTATTTTAACCTATATCGTAGAAATACCTTATTTAAAATTATCATTAGGATGTCTGTTGGACTAAATAGTCATGTTTACTTAAAAATCATTGTTGTAAATTATATTAAGTATTATTTTACTTGAATGAAAATTGACCACATCATCCATAATCATTTAACGATGGGTTACTTAGAAAGGTAGTCTAAAAATATTGACAAACAGTCAAGTACATAGAAGATAGACTGAGAAGAAGGAAAGGGCAACCAATAAATAAAAATTAAACTGAACTTAATACCCGTAAGTATTTTGTATCAAGTTTGGACACCGGTACTTGTTAGATTTCCAATCTATCAAAACACATTTATATTGTGTTTGATAAAAATCTATTGCAAAAAGACAATACCCTGCTTTGCACGGATATTCAATTATCTCACTAGGCAGTCTGGGTTGCGGGTTGATTCGGGTTTACAATGCAAGCGCTGTAATGAACCGCAGATTTGGCCCAGAGCAGAAGAAGGAACGGGAACGAGGTGATTTTTAGTCAGTAAGACTCCCTTGATTTTCCCTCCTCAAAGAAAACATTACCTCATGGTCAGTAATTTGCTTTTGTTAGCAAACCATTACGATACAAAATCCCTTTTTTTCTAAATTTTCTCTCAGTAAAAACTCTTTACAGTAACAATCATGAAAAAAATAACTAATCTTCGGAATTGGTTTGTACCATAAAGGTTCCAGGGGAAACATCGTGTTTGCCCCATTATTGACAATTACGAGTAATTAAAAAGGGTCTGCGCTAACCCTGCCTGCAAATAGCTTATCTAATACTTCTTGAGCATATGTTTCTATGATAACCTATGTATTTGGATTAGACTTGCAGTCCAATACTAAACGTTGGCTTAGCTGGGCTATCGGTTTCTCAAACCGACTCGATTCCAATAAGGAGCAATTGTTTGTATGATCCACAAATAATTGGTCCGGGTCTGAGTGTGAAGCGTATTTGTGAAACGCACCCACGACACAGAAGAATATCCTAGTGTTAGGACAACAGTAGAAAAACACTAAACAGTTCCAAACCTACACTCGCTTACGTTTGTATTTTATTTAAAATTAAGTTTACTACATCAACCGATCCAAAAATGTTATATAAATAGTAGTTTCAGTATAAAAATTATACGGTTAAGAATTTATCTGATCATGTAAGACGATCTGATCATGTTCGCGGGGCAAACTTGGCTGGAGATCGCTCTAGACAGAGAAGTTTGGAAGGAAAAAGGGAGGCCTTTGCCCAGCAGAGCGACACACAATAGGCTTTAAAAAAAAACAAATTATCACGCCGTAAAAGCAACCTGTTTACTCGGTCCTAGAAGACACATAGATCTTTTAAACAATCTTGCCTTGCCTAATTACCTAACGTAAATTTTTCATTGAAGCATTGCATAGCATTTGTTCAGTTAAGAATTTAAATATTTAGCGTAATTATTGAATTCACATTAAGTGTATATTTGTTTAACAGGTGATGCTGATTAGGTATATTATATAACATTACAGAAAACATACCACTGTTTTAGTATATTTAGTTTGGTTTCTTCTTACTTTAACGATACTTACAGTAGCTTTAAGTATTAAAGTATAGTAAAATAAACAACGTACTAGGCACGATCCGAGTAGGACTGATGTACAGCCGGGGTTGCGGATGCAAACGCAGCAATGTATCACGGCCCGGGCCCAGAGAAGGAGATGTACTGGGACGGTTTTAAGTCAGTAAGGGTGTGGAAGAAGTCATTTGATGATTTTCTCCCCTCAATAAAAAGACGATTCGTATCTAAGACTCTTGTTTGTATAAAAGTGAATAAAAGATATTGGGTTTTCAATTTAATAATTAAAGTCTACAGATTACTTTAGAATCTACTAACCATAAATATTATTGAGATAAGAAAATCACCTTTTCATAAAGATATTACAATAATACATTTACTACAATTTGATTGGCGGCCGTGTAACATGTTCTGTTGATATTTTTTCGGGCCTGGGTGTGATGCGTATGTGAAGTCGAACAATTGTCAACACGACACAAAAGAAAATCCTTTTGCCAGTCAATGGTAAACAAAAAAAAAAAATAATTAAAATATTTGTTTGGTAATTAAAGGTCGTTGTCAGTGAGTTTTATTGCATTAATATTTTATATTTGTATAGTTTGTGCTATTTTTAATAGATAATCGGAAGAAGAATATTAAAGGTATGTTGAGACGATCAATTACATCAATATAGAGTTTACTTTATTTTATCTGGACTTTAAGAGGAACTGTGACCGACGTGTTCGTTTTGTTGTTTCAGAATAGTTTGTATTAGACGCATTTACCGACGTATTTTAGAGTTTTAACTTTCCACGTGAACAATAAAATTAATTAAACATATTTAAAAAAA